TTTGCGTATCATCAAGGTTGCGCTGAGATTAAATTGACCCATTTATGTTTTGCGGATGATCTTTTTCTCTTTTCTAAAGGGGATGCAATTTCAGTTGAAGTTCTAAAACGTGCTCTCCATTTGTTTGAAGAACGATCGGGTTTGTCTCCAAGTCTTGCTAAAAGTAAAGTCTTCTTTGGGAATGTAGGGATGGATGTTCAGAATATCATTCGACACAGTCTTCCTTTTCGTCCGGGGGTTTTTCCTATTCACTACCTTGGAGTGCCTCTCTCTCCTATTCGGTTAAAGGTGCGTGATTTTAACCCTCTTGTGCTCAAACTTAAATCACGTTTGATGAATTGGAAAAATAAATTTCTTTCTTATGGGGGAAGAAGACAGCTCATCATCTCTGTGCTTCAATCTATGCAAACCTATTGGATGTCGGTATTTCTTGTGCCGGCAACCACTATTCATGAGATTGAGCAGCTATTCCGTAATTTCTTATGGAATAAAATGGAGGGTGCTATGGGTAAATGTCGAGTTTCTTGGGATAGGATTTGTCTTCCTATTCAACATGGTGGTCTTGGTTTGAAACGATTAGCACTCTGGAATCGGTGTTTACTGTTTAAACATATTTGGGATATTCTTTCTCATAGGAATACTATGTGGGTATCCTGGATCCAGTCTTATTGTATTCGAGGCAGGAATTTTTGGATTATAAAGAAAAGGAATGAATGGTCGTGGCTTCTTCGAAACCTTTTGGAGTTGAGACCTCACTGCAGAAGATTCTTTATCTGTAATGTGGGTAATGGTATATCCACTCATGCTTGGGAAGATACGTGGAGTGAGTCGGGTCCCCTTATCCATTTGCTCACTTACAGATTCATTAATGGTCATRGGTTTCACAATAATTCTACAGTGTATGATCTAATGCAACGGTTTGGTACTACTTGGCYAGAGGATTGGATTCAGCTGTATCCCCAATTGCAAAGTGTTTTGATCCCACTCCCTACTCAACTTGAGGATACGGTCCAATGGCTTGATGCTAACCATCAATGGAAAGCATTTGAAGTCAAAGTGGCTTGGCATAAATTACAAGAAGCAAGGCTAAAGGTGCATTGGTATAAGGTTGTATGGAATAAAGCCTACATTCCAAAACATGCTCTGTGTATGTGGATGGCTTGTCAAAACAGATTACCAACTCAAGATCGCATCAGTCAATGGAAACATGAACCTTCGGACTTGAAATGTGTTTTCTGTAATCTTGTGCTTGAAACGCATAATCATTTATTTTTTGAATGCAACTACTCGAATAGTATATGGGAGGTCATTCAGAAGGAAGTTGGGATAACAAATTGTCCGAACAAATGGGAGGACATTCTTCACAGGGGCTTATCTCAAGGGTGGAAGTCATGGTCCACGGTTCAAAAGATTGGTATATCTACTACGGTATACCACATATGGCGGGAAAGGAACAAATTTTTTTTTGATAAGTATAATCAAGCTGGAGAGAAAGTGGTGGCTGAGATCAAGAGTCAGATTCTTCAAAGAATGGCGTGGAAGGCTAGACAAAAACTCATACCTCTCAGTGATGCGTGAAAARGTGTTTGCTAAAGGGTTTCGTTCTTGGAAGATGGCGGGATTTTGCTCCTTTTATTTTTTGTCTTGCTTTATTATTACTTATTGGTGCATTTCTCTTTGTCTTTTTTGGCTTCTTATGGCYTGGTTTGTAAGCCAAAGTTGYCGTAGCGTCTCTTGCTGATATGCTCTCTTGACTTTTCTCTCTTTTACTAGTATTTATAAAATTGCCTGGGGTTGCTTTCCCCTTTCTGTAAAATCCTTATGGATAAATGGGCCTATTAACCTACTACGGTCTAATCAGAATAATTATGATCCATTTATCGTCATTTTGATCCAAACGACTCGATTATAACTAAATAGGCCCAATATACCCAATAAGTGTACATGGACCCATTAGGGACACTTAAGACACATTCTTTTGGCTTGGTTTGTGAGTCAAAGTTGCCGTAGTTCTTCTTGTTGATCTGTACTCTCTTTCCAAGCTTTTACTTGGTTTATAAAATTGCCTAGGGATTTTTCCCTTTCAGTAGACTAACTATGACCCATTTTGTGACATTTTGACCCAATTAGACTCGTTACGAAGAAAGGGGCCGATTAAACCCATCAGGGTCTTATGAGACTGTTTATGACGTAGTTGGTCTCATTTTGACTCAATTAGACTTTTTAACGAGAATTAGGCCCATTATATCCGCTACCACCATTTGGACCCACTAAGGACCATTAAGACTCATTCCGCCTCAATACTCCCATTAACGTCTGATTATACTAATTATCGGCCCATTGCCTGTTGTAATGTGTTGCTGAAATGTATCAGTAAAATTATTGCTGAACGGATAAAAGGCTCTTTGGATGTTCTTATTAGCAAGGCCCAATCTGCGTTCATCCCTGGGCGTTAGATCACGGATAATATTTTATTGGCGCATGAACTAGTTGCTGGGTATCAAAAATCTGAAGGGGAACCAAAATGTGCGTTTAAGATTGACATTCGGAAAGCCTATGATACAGTTGACTGGCAATTTCTTTTAGAGATGCTTAAGGGAATGGGTTTCATCCAGTGATGATTAACTGGATAAAGACTCTAATCACTTCGCCTTCTTTCTCTATTTGTGTTATGGACGGTCGGAGGGTTTCTTTCATGGTAAGCGGGGCCTTCGACAAGGGGATCCTTTATCTCCTTACTTGTTTATTGTGGTCATGGAAGGTCTTTCGATGCTTCTTTCAAAATGTATTGAGGAGGAGGCAAATTTTGCGTACCATCAAGGATGAGCTGAGATCAAGTTGACCCATTTATGCTTTGCGGATCATTTGTTTATTTTTTTCTCGGGGGGATACTACCTCAGTGGAAGTTATAAAGCGTGCTCTCCAATTGTTTGAAGAACGTTCGGGTCTGTCTCCGAGTCTGGAAAAAGTGAAGTGTTTTTCGGGAAAGTGGGGTTGGAGGTTCAAAATCTTATTCGTAATAGCTTACCTTTTCGGCCGGGGGTATTTCTTAGTGATGAAGTAAGATGGGATCTTAGTGATGAAGTAAGGTTTGTATCTTAGTGATGAAGTAAGGTAATGGTATCTTAGTGATGAGGTAAGATGGTATCTGAGTGATGAAGTAAGGTTTGTATCTTAGTGATGACGTAAGATGGTATCTTAGTGATGAAGTAAGATGGTATCTTAGTGATGAAGTAAG